AAAAAAAAAAAAATACACACACACACACACACACACACACACACACACACACACAAAAAAAAAACAAGAAAAAGATGCTGAGGCACTCACTCACTATGGAATGGAGCATGGGATCCACAGCGTTAATTCCCTCAGTGGTAATGGGCTGAGCTGTATCCCCTTCAGATCTTACACTGTGACGTTCCAGCCCCCAGTACCTCAGAATGTAACTACCTGCACACAGGGCCTTCTAAGTACAATGAAGTCACCGAGGTAGGCCCTCACTCACTGTGACCGGGTCCTTCTAAGAAGAGACAAGAACAAAGAATCAGAGGGGAGACACTAAAGACGACAGGGACCATCAACAAGCGGGGGATGCAGGGGAAACTACCCCGCCAACACCTTGATCTCTCGATTCTCGCCTCCACAACTATGAGAAAATGAGTTTCCACCGCTCAGGCTCCCATGCATAAGCCTTTGTTTTGGAGGCCTGAGGACACTAATACAGTATGAAGATATCATCACAAAAATTAAATTTCTCCTTCAAAAGCAAGAGTCGGGATAAACATGTGGAAAGTGTCTTCGGACAGTTTTGTGGTACAGACCTCGATCCTATCTATAGAGCTATAAATCACTAGCTGTTTTATTCTAACAACACTGGTAACTTTCATTAATCTACCCAACAATACACTGAAACTTCCCCCCAGTTTTGAGTTAGAGGGTTTTACCTTTGTATAACAGACAGAATTCAAATTCCATTCATAGTTGTTATTTCATCTGATTCCCATATCTTCTCTATGGAACACACATTTCAAGCCTACATCACAGATCCCAGACAGACACCACTGGAAGACTAAATGCAAACACTGCCCACAATTCTAGCAGGGCTACCTGTGTGAGTAAGAACAGCAATAAAGTTTATTTTATATCTTATACTGTACTTACCACAAAGCCTATTTCAAGCAGTGAAAAGGACAATCTAAACCACTTTACACGAATTAACTCAACCCTAAAAGCCTTGAAGTAGGTACCAATACTGCCTATTTTAGAGACGAGGAAACTGCTGAGTACTTTATCCTCCCTGGTGGAGCCAGGATGTGAACGCAGGCAAGACTGACTCCAGATCCCACATTCTTAACCACACCACAAAACTAGGGGTAAACAGGATATTACTGGGCACGAATTGTAATGGCTTCCAAGTCATTACAGGGGCTTAAATTTGAATTCAGGCTCAGCAGCCTGCTAGGTATGTGTCTTTCAGCAAATAATCTCGTGTCTCAGATTCCTCACTTAATAAGAAGACATTAAGTGAGACGATATAAAACCATTTAGTTCAGTATCTAATGCCTAACCTGTGCTAATTAAGCCTCTGCTATTTCTACTACTTTAATGAATATGCAAAAACAACCCAACAATTAATCTATGAGGCGTGCCTGCAAAATATAGGGAATGCTGAAATTTCATTTTGTTAATTTTTTTCTGTTACCAGGGATTGAACCCGGACTTCGAGCTTGCCAGGCAGGCGTGGCACCACTGAGCCAACTCCCTGGCCCCGGAAAAGCTTAAATTTTAAAAATTTACTGAAAAAAAAAAAAATGTACTGCCGTAAAAGACACCCGTGTGTCAACGCAATAATTCCCCTTATGATACCCACCCCCGCTTAACCCATCGTCCCTACCAAGTCCTCTTCAGTGTCTTCAGCTGCGCTGCTGCCTCTGGTGTCCTAAATCAGTTCACCCACTCACCTCACGGCCGTGCTGCCTCGGGAAAGCCTGCGGTCACAGTGCCGGGCACGGCGACTACAGTGGTGACCACCGCGGTGCTTCTGAGCCTGCTTTTCACTGGACAGCACTCGGCGGCAGCCTCTGCCGCATGTTTAATCAAACCTTGTGAAGATACTGAGGAGGGACTTCTAGGACTGCTCCCAAAGGTGGAGAGATCCCCAGGATAAGTGCTTTCAAAGCCAAGGGGAGTATTCTGAGGAGGATTAATGGCAATGAATCTTTTACTATAATCGTTTTTTAAAAATTTAAACATAGAGCGTATTTTTCTTTCTTTTTTTTGGTACTAGGGATTGAACTCAGGACCTTGTGCTTGTGAGGCAGCGGTGGAACCACTGAGCTAAATCCCTAGGCCCTGTATAGAATATTTTCACTCACCCTTGTAATTTGGAAACTTCAAACAAAAATGCCTTCTTTTATCTAATTTTTTCCTTCCTACTTTATTCCAATCTCATTTCTAATAAGGAATTAAATACACTGAATCAAAAAAATACTGAATCAGGTTAGATCAGTCTTAATACTTTAGTAACTTTGGCAAGGCAATGGTATACATAGGACAGCTTCAAAGGATTCAGGACAATGCTCAAATATCTAACCTCTAAAAGAGACCAAAAATATCTAAATCTTTATTAAACGCCTTTTTTTCCTGGTACCTGGGATCGAAGCCGGGACCTTACGCTTGCAAAGCAGGTGGGTACCACTGAGCTACATCCCCGGCCCCACTGCAGACTTTAAAACACCGAGTTCTAATCTCTCTTGGGTGCCAGGTAGCCATCTGCTCGTTACTTGTCCTCTGCCTATTTCAAGCTTCAAAGAGCTCATTTCAGAACTCTCACTTTTGGTGATTTATAGTTAATCATAATGTCTCCCTTGTCCAGGTCAGATGATTCTGGTTTTGTAGCCATCCGGAGGTCTCTCGGGACCTTTTCATTTTTTTAAATCTGTTTTGTACCGGGGATGGAGCTCAGAACCTTCTCTTGGGAGGCGGGCGGTGGTACCGCGGAGCTCAACCCGAGCTGAACCTTTTCATTTTGGAAGCACTTTTCCTGAGGCGATGCAGTGGGAAGAACCCTAAGGCCGAGGGGAGCCGGAGCCCACACCCTGCTGCCTTCTATCTCAGATTCGGCACCGGAAGACGCGAAGACCGCACCAGATAAACGTGCAGTGGGGCCTCCATCTCCAGGCCTCCCGATTTCCTCCAACTAAGATCTCTCAACCCCTCCGTTAGCCACGGAGGGGCGGGAAGGTCAGGCTGGGGTCAGGGAAGAGACGAAAGTCAGGAAGCCCAGGGCTACTGAAGGAAAGGGCCGGTATTTCGGGAATCAACAGAAAAAAATGGATTAACAAGAGAAATCAGGCAGCAAAAAGACTCCAAAGACAAGAAAAAAGAAACACGGCCTGACCTTAACTCCCCTCTCCACCTACTTGAGGCGGACACGGAGGCTGCTGGCACACAGCAGCTCTGGGTTACAGGACCACTCCGGGCGCGGCAGGCATCCCGGGTGATGAGGGACCTGAAGCCCTCAGAAACTTTACTGTCCTGCTGCGCGCAGAACCTGACAGCTGAAGGCCAAGCGGATTCTGCGGCAGTGGCTGCGTGATTTCTCCAGGGGAGGAGGGAGATCTGGCCCCGCGGCCTTGGGTATGTGCTGAGGATCCTGGAAAAAGGTTCCGCAAGGAAAAGGTCAGACAGATTACAAAGGCACAGGCAGTCTCATCGACCCCGGCAACAACAGGATATGCGGGAAAGCCATTTCCTGCCCGGATGGCTCTATCTTTCCTCACACTGCCCTCCGCAGAGCCTGGCCCCTTGGCCTCTGATTGGCAGGAGCCAGGGAGGACTAAATCAACAAGGCTGGGCGGAGGGCTGGGCAGTTTTGATAACTGCCAGCCGGGAGGTACCAAGACAGGAGGGAGCCCTCACCTAGGATGCAGACTCGGGACCCATCACGGATCTCTAGGATCCAGTTTCTGAAAGCGTGCCAGGGCACCGTGACCTCCGAGGTCTGACAATTACCTACTTACTGTCCAAAATTTGGGTCCCCCCGTGAGACGGGGGTGGCTCCAAAGTAAGTTCTGATTCAGAATTTATTACCTCCAACTGATGTTACTAACAGGTCCATTTTTTAAAAAAATCTCAGTTTCCCAGGTAGTAGATGCAGATAATGGTTAACAGTGAACAGGGATACTATGAAAGAACTTGGAAATGTATTTCCACAAGCTGTTTAAACAGTTCCTTCCAAGCCTTGTTTCTCTTGGTACTTTATTCACTAGATTCTTACTTAAAAATAAATCAGCTCTGATGTGCACCTGTAATCCCAGCACTCTTGGGAGGCTGAGGCAGGATGATCTCGTTTGAGCCCAGCCTGAGCAACCCAACAAGATCCAGTCTCAAAATAAAAATGGAGATACAAAAAGGTGAGGATGCAGCTCGGCGTGAAGGCCCCAAACTCAATCTCCTGTACAGAGGGGAAAATCGGTTCAGCCCTTCGATTCTCAGAAAGAATCACAAATCTCCAATTAGGTTTACTGAGTGCAGAACCGAGCTTGCAAAAACCCGAACACACACTGTCTGCTATAAAAAGTAAGTTTTTATTTAAAAGAAAATTACCGGTTAAGGCTCTCTCCCCAGCGCTTCCGCACTCAAGAGTCAGGGCTGAAAACCAGCCATCTGTGGGCGGTGGAGGAAGCCGGGGCCAAGCGACCGGGACGCGCGCTCTCCGCCGCAGCCGGAGTTTAAGAGGCAGGCGGGCCCCACGGCGTCCTTAACGCGCTCACTCGGCGGCCGGGGGACTCGGCC